CAGGAACTGCAAACTGTCCCAGTACATTCTTTGGAAATAGAAATGTGCAATCTGTTTTGAGCTGAAAAGAATCCACTCATTGTAAGGGAGAGAAAGTTGCCACGTTAAAGGAAGCTGGCTGTCATCTGTGCAAAATCTTCCTGCAGAGCTCCTTCTGAGCTGGTTTCCAGGTTATCCAGTATCCAGGGTTCACTGTTCTTCATATGTGCAAGAACAGGCAAGCTCAGACCTGGTGTGGCTTTCCGTGGTGGCTTTTGCTGAGTTAACCTCCAAGGAATGAAAATTTTTCCTTTTAATACTTTATTTCAATAATTGAAGTGGAAGGTATTTTTCTTGATAAAGAAGGAATTCATTTACATGAATAAATGGACTTCTTCCTGCTTCCCTGGGGTGTTGAGAAGCTGGCAGGCATCTTCCTGCTCTCAATGTGCAGTTGTTGAGCACATGAGAACATGCTGGGCAGATGACAGTGCAGCCCTGTTCCCTACCAGTCCCCGTTGGTGATGGGGCTGGAATGCCAGTGTCACATCAGGGATATTTTGGAAAAGCACAATGCAAGTCAGTCCTCAGCAGCAGGGGTGGCTTTGAGCATGAAGATTTGCTTCCATGTTTTTGCTTTCAGGTTTATTTATTTATTTTAGTTGGCCTTTGCCAAGCAGCAGGGTTAAAATCCTGGTCTGTGTTACAAACCTTTTAGTCAATCTTCTTTCTATAAGGAGTTCAGAGCAGAGGCAGACAGGAGCAGTGTCTTTTAAAGCTTTCAAAATTCACAGACAGGACTACATTGTGAATGCTGCTTGCTTATTTATGAAAAAGTTTTGGGTAATCTTGGATGAACTCATTTAAACTTAAAGCCTCCTGGAAGAAAGGACTCTATTTTGAATCTTGTGAATACACAGATGCACAGCTGAGAATGTTGTGTATGAGGTAGGTGACGGGCAAGGGGATATGGATTGCCAGGGGAATGTGACAGAGCATCCCTGGTGCTGACAGGAGCTGCCCCACCAAGGGAGTCCCAGCTGGGGATGCTTTGGCAGGGGCACTTCAGAGGGGACTCCTGTCATGGGACAGTGGCTCTGTCCTGTCAGAGAGCTTCCTCTTCAGGGTGTGCCTCAGCTCCCAGTGCAGCTCGCTGAGGAGTGTCCTGCTGTGGCCTTTTGATCTCCAGTGCCTCTGCATCACTGGGGTACAGCTGTGGTGTGGGAATCACCTTCCCTGTGCTGCACCCCATCCAGGATGGCACATCCACCTTGGCCTTACAACACTTGCCAAATCATGGTACAGAAGTAGAATGGCTTCTCTGGAAATCCCTGTCAAGGAGCAGAGAAGCTGTGCTGGCCTGACTCCACTTTCACAGATGCCCAGATTTTCAGAGGGAGCTGGCTGTGTTGGTTCATATCCCTGTCCTTCCCTGCCTGACTTCAGAAGGGAATTAGAGATTGTCTTCAAGTGTGATCTCTCTGCCTCCCTCCCTGATGCCTCTCCATAAATCTGTCCTGCTTTTATGGGAGGGAGTCCATAGATTGCCTTCGGGGTGGGAATCCCTGCAGGAAGAAATAGATGCTGACATTTCATGCTTCCATTTCATTGGGAATAAACCTTTCCTTTCCCCTGGATTGGCTGGAGGGTAATGAAATGCACCTCCATGTAAGAAAGTCTCAGTGTTCTCAAAGAGCAGTGAGCTTGGCTGATCATCCCAGGATGAGCTGAGTGGGTTTGCTGACCTATGGAGACTGAGTCTTCTCATCAGGTACCTACACCCAGCACAAATACAGGCATAAAAACATGTGGCAGCCTGGGCATGCTCTGGTTTCCTGCTCAGTATTTCAGAGACTTTAAATCTGATGGCATTTCTTCTATGGAAGAAGAGTGGCTGATTAGCCAAATGTCAGAGCTGATCCTAATCCCTCTGCCTGCTTCCATGATAAAAACCCTCTAGTGAGTTTATACTTCAGGAATGCAAGTCTTGCAAGCAATTTATCTTTTTCTTGTAGCTCTTCATGGTTGAATGCAGCTGCTATTTGTATTCCAATTAATTACAGGCACAAGTGATTACATGGGGTTGAAGTACAATTAGGACTAGTCTATAATTGTGTTTGAAAGGGCTATGGATGCTTTTACAGATGGTTTCCCTGCTGGATGAGACTGGTCAGTCTCTCAGCTGTCTCCAGCTTTTCATGTTATTTCTCCCTAATTGTTAGTGCAGTGACTTCAATCTTACATTGGGGAGTATTTTTGCTTTCTGCCTCTTAGAGTACATTAGCTTCAAAAGGGACAAGCATCCATTTAAACCTGCCACAGCCAGAGAGGCAGTAAATAGTGAGACATAACTTTGTACAAGGCATCTACTGTCAGGATTTATTAAAAAACACAAATTAAAACACTTAAATTTGTTGGAGAGCAGGTGATTCTGTGCCCTCTCAGCACGCCAGTGTCATTCTTGCTCCTTTGTTATGAGATAATTGTGTGTTGGATGCAGTGTGATGCTCAGGAGCCAGCCCAGGCCTTGGAGATGTGCCTGTGTTCACCAGGTTTTCCCCTCCCATGGGTTAACGAAGCATGGATGGATAGCAAAACCATAGGAAAACTCCATAATGGAAAAAGGCCAGATTCCTTAGGAGCTTCCCTGAGCTCATCCCCCAGGACCTTGTTAGCTCCCCCAAACCCTGTTTGCAGCACTATCTTGAAAGCCAGCAGGGTGCCCTGCAGCTCCCTGGCCATGGGCAGCCTGGCCATGTGTCCCTGATGGTGGCATGGTGCCCCACAGCTCCCTGGCCATGTGTCCCTGATGGTGGCATGGTGCCCCACAGCTCCCTGGCTGTGTGTCCCTGATGGTGGGATGATGCCCCACAGCTCCCTGGCCATGTGTCCCTGATGATGGGATGATGCCCCACAGCTCCCTGGCCATGTGTTCCTGATGGTGGCATGGTGCCCACAGCTCCCTGGCCACGTGTCCCTGGTGTGGCAGAGCTGGCGAGGTGGAGGTTTGATATCAATCCCACATGCAGGAATTTGGAGGTGCTCCCCAGGGTGATTGGTGGCCATGCTCATCTGCTGCTCCCAAAGCTTGTCAGCACATTTGGGCTGGCTGAGAGCCCATGCAGACCCTGCAGGGGCTCAGGGGGCAGGAACAGAGGGGAAAGGGCAGCTGGGGGGCTGCAAGAGGGCAGAGGTGGGGGTGCTTCTCTGCCTGCCCTGTGTCTGTGCTTGCTTTGTTGATAGACTGAGTCTCTGTTGGGTGTAGTTGCTTTATGGGAGAGATGGGAGGTGGCTTAAATTGGAATTTGGTGCCTGCTGGGAAAATGCTTGTCTCAGCTACACAAGAATCTTACAGAGATTTGAGGTGAAAGGCTCCTTAAAACAGTCCCAGTCCCTAAAGAGGGGGCTTTGACCCCTGTTTCCATGCAGTGGGTGCTTGCCTGGGTTGCTGTTTGCTGGGTTTTGAGGTGCCTGGCTGGGACGTGCATGACAATCAGGAATTCTCCTGGAGTATCGTGGTGAAGCTGTGGTTCAATATTTGTGTCTGTGAGAAGGGGGAAGAGTCAGTACGGAGCAGCAGTGCCTTAATGACTTTCTTTAAATTTTTTCCCAAAGTCTGAGCCTGCGTGCTGATGTACTGGATAAAGCTGTAAGCATGTTTGCTCCTGCTGCATGGCAGCAAAGAAAGCAATAATTTATTTTGGCTCCCTCTTGGAAACTGGTCTTTAAACTTGTATAGCCTCCTAATGTTTATCCCAAATGCCTCTTTTTACTCTGGCTTTTTCAATTTTCCCTGCCTTCTGAAGATCCATCTGAAAATATTTGAGAAAAGCAGTGCCAAGGCTCTGACTTGCTCCTTTCAATTTAAGCCTCTTATGCCATTAGATCCAGCAAATGCTGCATTTTTACATCTCTTTACGGATTTATGTTTTTTTTTACCTTTGCCCTGTTCCCTTCCCATTAATTCCCATGATATGTGCAAGTTTTTTTCCCAGCTCTCTGAATTTAGCATTACCAGATTGCTGGCCCTGAAGGCTTCAAGCACACTGGATTTAGCAAGGGAGAAACTGATGCTCAGAGGCCTTTGTGCCTGGTGAGGCTAGGAGTATATCCCTTTCTTTTTCCAAGTCCTTCCCAACAACACACAAAAAATGTGGAAACATTCTCATCGAGAGTTTTTTATTGATTTTTATTTGCAGTGTGGTAATTGACTGGAGCGTGGAAAATGATGTTGCAAATAATTTCAGTTGAAGCTCTTAATGCTGTTTTGTGCTTGTAATACTGCATTAGCTCTGATCTGTGTTCACTTGTTCTGAAGCTTAGTAGTAGCAGGAGTCTTCTTTGAATGTATCCGAGAAACCATCAAATCCTCTTTTAGCTAAAAGTCAAGCAAGGCCCTTGGAGAGCAGTTTGACACTAACTGCAGCCTTAACCCTCTTCTGCATTCAGGTAACCTTGCCCAAAGCTGGGGCAGGGACAGGGGTGTTCATCCCAGGAGCCCACTCCATGTGGGAGGCTTCAACACCACCTGAAGCTCTGCCCAGCTGGTGGGCAAACCGTGGCTTATGGCACACTTAGGGCCTGGAAAAATACAATCACAGCTGATAGATCTCAAATTCTGGGTGTACCTGGGGGCTGTTTAGAGGGGGGATGGGACAGGATCTTTGTGATTACCTTGGGACCCCCAAAACCACACAATGTGCTCCTTTTGTTGTGGCCTCACTGGTGCTCACAAGACTTCTCAGATAAATCACAAGAGAAGATCCCTGCCCTAAACCAGCCTGCTGTCTGCATTAGAAATAACAATAATAACATAAAAAGAAAATCAAAGGATTAAAATCAGTGGAAGTTAATAATCTGAATATATTCAAAGATCTGGGCTAAAAAAGGGAAATAACAAACCAGGAGTGGAAGTCAAAGGCCCCAATAGGTGGGAGTTACAAAAAATTGAGCCATTGGTTCCAGCTGAAAACAGGAGCACTCTGCTTTTGTGAGTAGTATTTTCCCTCTTCTACTCAAACTAAAATGCTGAAAAAATTTCTACAATTGGTTTAAATGGATTTAGGTGTCTAAAAAAGGGCAATTTAGAAATGCAACCAATTGTTCTCTTCTCACTTCTAAATTTAAAGGAAGGTTAAACCATGGTGAGAGTTTTTCATGCCATGGCAGGAGTGATATTTGACTTTGGGCTGAGGCTTCCACAGGAAAGCAAGAGCAGAGGTAGGAGTGAATTCTTGGTTCCATGGAAGTACTGGTGTGATCTCACTGATTTCACAGGAGAAAGGGTCCCCCCTCGGCCGTGGTTGCCCTTGCAAAGGCAATTTCTGGTAAATATATGATAGCTACAGCGCCAGTGCCCCAGGACATGCTGGGGTTAAGCCATCTCCTCCTTTCCCATCCAGCACCCCCTACTTTAGTAGTTTTCTGGGTCAGGGTACAGGAGGAAGCCCATGAAAGTGGAATCATTGAGGTTGTCGGCATAGACCCCATTTTTGTCCCCGTTGCCATACACCTGGAGCCAGACCTCGTCCCCGGAGCTGAGGTGCAGCAGCACGGAGCCGCTGGCTTGGTCGACGTTGTTGTTCTGGAACTGGTCGTAGGTGAAGATCACGGCCTTGTCCTTCCTGTAGAGGCTGACCTTGACGTCTGACAGGTACACTGTGAGGTGGTAGGCGAAGTAATAGGTGCCAGGGACACTGCAGAGGAACTTGCCCGTGCTGGGGTCGTAGTGGCCCTGCTCGTTGTAGAAGATCTTGCTGAAGCGGATGGGGACGTTGGGGGCAGGGCTTCGCTCCGTCAGCCCCACGCTGAAGGCAGAGTGGTGCACAAAAGCATCTCTGCCCTTCTGCCCTGGGATTCCGGGAATTCCAGGAGGTCCGGGAGGTCCGGGAAAGCCTCGGCTTCCTACTGGGCCTGGTTCACCTTTGGGACCCGCCGGACCTGCAAGACAGAGTGGGGACTGGGAGCTGTGTTTGCACTGTGCTGGAAGCTGCTACTGCAATGCAGAGGGGGCTGTGGTGGGAGCCCTGCTCGACAGCACAGAGCCAAGGAAGGGCTCAGGGACCCCCAGAGCCCCCAGGGGCTGAGGCACGAGTGGAAACCCTGCTCACCCCCAACCCTGGCTGTGGGCAGAGCTGCTGAGAGCAGCATGTCAGAAAAAAACCATGATTAACTGGGGAAACAAACCCTGCACCAAACTCTTTGACTTGGGTTATGGAATCTCCACCCCAGGAGATTATCAAAAGCCATCTGGATAAAGATCAGGCATGGAGCCACCAGACAGGAAACCCATTGGGACTGGGGCTGGGGTTGCCCGAGGACTCGAGCACTGACATACACCTGCTCCTCACCAACCTTCATCTCCTTTATCTCCCTTTAGTCCATCTCTTCCATCTTTGCCATCCCGGCCAGGGACGCCGTTGTGGCCAGGGTAGCCGGGTGCTCCTCCCATCCAGTTGGCACATGGCATTTTCGGGTCAGGCTGGGTGTCCTGGGCAGCCACCCCTGTGGGGTGGGGGACCAGCAGCAGCAAGGAGCACAGCAGGAAGCCTGACAGGCCCCTCATCATTGGTTCCTGATGTGGACAATTGCTTTGTTAACTTTAAAGGTTAAATAGAGAAAAGAAGTGAATGCTTTCCCCCCCACCCCAGTAAGAGAGAGGCACAGAAGACTAAACTGGAGTCAGTATTTCTGCAGGAAAGCAGTTCTGCTGGCCCAAGGGCCTCTCTGGTGTGAGCTCCATGAGCCAAGCTGGACCCTGGGGCACAGCCAGTGCAGAGAGGAGCAAACACCAGCTACTCCTCCAGCCCTCTCGGGCTCTGTGCACAGGCACAGATGTTTCAGGACCCAGCACAGCACATGCTGGGATATCTGTGGCTGATCTCCTTGCAAAGCTCTGCTCAATTAGCCACAAAAAGCCCTGACTCCTGGGTGAGTGAGCAGCTGATGGTCTGGCAAAAGTTGTCTCAAACTCTCTCCAGCCTTGAAGCCAGGCAGGGGTGGTTTCTCACTGCCTGCTCACCTGGGTCTACCTAACAAGAACAGAAACCACAGCCAGGCTTCCCAGCTTCCCTGAGCCACAACATGAAATTATGATACTGGAGTTTTTTCCACCCCAATTGTTCTTTGATTTGACAAACTGTGCAGTGTTTAGGCTTGTAGGATTGTATTTCTCTTTAATCTGGCTGCTTTACTGGTCAGAGCAATTAGTGCAGCTGCCCAAAACCAGGTTGGTGGTGACACCCTGCAGTCAGGCTTTGTCCTGTGCTCCCAGCCCCTGGTGGGCTTTGGCTCAGGTTTTTAGAATACAAGATATTTTAAAATTACCATTGTTGTGTGATACTGCTCCCTGGACACGGCTTATACTCTGGAACAGTAAAGGTATCCTGTTAGGAGCATTGTAAGTGGCATAATAGGCAATAAAAAGTGAGCAGCAGCATGGCAATTAGAGTCCCTCAGCTCTGTAATTTTCAAGAAAAATAATATTTTGGAGGAGTTTCTTTGCAGGGTTGATTTTCCTAGGCAAGCTATTCAAATTTTAAGTAATGTCTTATTAGCTCTGGTGTAATTGCTTCAAAGGAAGCTAAACAAATGTGCTGGTTTTAGCTGGGGCAGAGTTAATCTTTTTTTGTTGTGGGTAGCATGTGCTGTGTTTTGGATTTGTGCTGAACACAGGGTTGATAACACAGGGGTGTTTTTGTTATTGCTGAGCAGTGCTTGCACAGCATCAAGGCTTTTTCTGCTCCTCACCCTACCAATGAGGAGGCTGGGGGTGCACAAGGAGTTGGGAGGGGACACAGCCAGGACAGCTGAGCCCAACTGACCCGAGGGATATTCCAAACCATGGCATCATGCTCAGCTGTAAACCAGGGGTAAGGCTGGCCCCAGGCTGCTGCTCAGGGCAATGGACATTGGTCAATTGGTGCTGAGCAACTGTTTTCATTTGCATTTGCGTTTGTCTTTCTTGGGGTTTCTTTCTCTCTCTTTGTTATTTTCCTTTCCATTACAATTTCTTACTGTTATTATTACTATTTTATTTAAATTAGTACGCTGTTCTTATCTCTACCCATGAGTATTCTCACTTTTACCGTGCAATTCTCTCTCTCCCATTCTGCTGTAGCAGGGGGTGAGCAAGTGGCTCTGTGGGGCTCAGTTGCAAGCTGGGGTTAAACCACAACAGCAACAAAGAAGTTGCCATGATTTCAGTTTTTGTTGCAAAAAAAATATTGATATTGAGCATATTGAAGAGGCTTTGGAAAAAAATTAAAAGCTCTGTTTAATGGCTTTGGTGGCTTAACACCTAAAATCAGGAAACTCCAAAATCTGTGCCCGCCCAGCCAGGCTCCAGCAATCCAGCAGCCACCCAGCACTCTGAGATGGGGCCAGCACCCTGACTTGGGGCAGTTTTGGGGCTGAGGGTGCTGCGTGGTGCAGTGGGCACAGCCTGAGCCTTAGGCAGTGCTCCTGTGTCCCTGCACTTCGGGAAGGGGCATGTCCCTTTGCAGCAAGGGATTGTCCAGCATGGACCAGTGAAACTGATGTCTATAAATCCTGGCAGTGGCTTTGTTTGCTGAGAAAGGTGTGCACAGTGATCACACCTTGCCATGCCCCAGTGGGACCCTTGGCCCCCCTGCCTGGGTCCCCTCCAGCTCAGGCACATGCACATACCCCTCCAAAAACAGCACAGGCTGTCTGGGGACACCTAACTGTGGTGGTGAGCCATAAAAATCTGGCTCAAAATTGTGTTTCTTGAGCTGTGTTTTGGTGATTTTGTTGGGGTTAGTTCTGCTTTTCTGTTTCTAGAACTCAAATATCATCTCAATTTTAGTGGTGTGCCCCAAAGCCAGGTCTTCTACCGGTGCAAAATGACCCCCTCCTGTAAGGCCACGAGCAGAGCAGGTGTGAGGAGCCCAAGCAGGGCTGCAGGGAAGCTTTTCTGGGGGCTGCCTGGCCAGTTTGCTGCAGAGGGCTCAGAGCCATGCCCTCGCCAGCATCAGTGTGCACACATCACCCACTCAGTGCTCTCCTCTCTCAGGACAAGAGTGCTGTGGTATGCAAGGAGAGAACATCTTCTGTCCCCACAGTTTAACTCAAGCACAGGTGCTTGAGAAGCCAAGCAGTTCTCTGGCATAAGTATGTCTTACAACATCCCCTTACAACAGGGCAAGTTTTAAGCTGTGTCTACCAGATCTGAGCTTAAACTCTGGTTTAGAAGTGACATCCCTTTACTTGGTCGTTCCCATTTCCTTTTGGTTTTCCATCTGATGCTTAGCATCAGTTTAACATGAAATAGTCTGCTATATTTGAATGTCAGTCCTACCTTTTGGACAAGAAATAGATTTACAAGAAATAGATGAACTCTACTGCTGGTGGCTTTCAGTGATTGCCTGGGCAGCTGCTGTATTAAAAGCACATAAGTGTTACATGAAGCTTATTCATTTATCAGCAGAAAGTGCTGTAGCATCTGTGAGAACAATGCTATTCCTAAGGGCTACATAATGATTCAGAATTTAAATTTAAGATAGCACTATGCAAAAATTATATACTCTAAGCCCCCATCGTTCTGCACCAAACAGACTGAAAAAATCCATCTGTTTTCCCACTGGAGAATTTCCCTCAAAGGGTATTAACCATGCCTTTGGCTTAAGTCAAAGGTTTTTCTTTTTGTAATTCTCACAGCATAGTTTTTGCTGACGTTCCAGCAGTGACTTGTTCCAGAGGGCTCACACCTTAAATGTGAGTGGTGCAGGTTTCTGGTGAGAACTGATGCGACTCAGGGAGATTTAGCAAACCCAATCTTCTCTGGAGTCTTTGAGGAAAGAGGTGAATTGAAAGGTGCCAGTGCAGTATTTACTATTACAGCCATGCAGTTTCTCACTGTTGTTCCTGACTACTTTTTGATTTAGAAGTTCTGTTCTCTAAATAGTGTTTCCAAAAAGGGGAGTATGAATCTAATGGAGACTAGCTATTCTTGGTTTAAAATACTCTCTGGCTATTACGAGAATAACTCTAAGACAACTTCTTGCAAACAAAGTCCGTCCAATTCAGCCCAAAAGAAGAGAAACTCCTGAACTTAGTAAGGAGAGGGGGAAAAAAAATCATGCTTACCAGCTGCTTTGAGTCCTGGTTGGCTTGCTGCAGTCTGTTTAGAGAATGAAGTCTGGCTACTGCATCGCTATCCCTAAGGGCACAGGGAGCTGTCAGCTCACACACTGCACTTTCCATTTGCTATTGCGCATGCTGACCTAAAAGTTGGGTTTTCCCATTAATTTTTCCTGGACATAACTGAAGTTTTGGAACAGAGATATAATCCACTGGGATAGCTTGTGAAGATGGCCTTACAGGGAAAAGATGGGTTTGGGAATTGGACAGGAACTGGATGAGCAGTGGTTTGCTGGAGAGCCTGTATGAGAGCCTGCTCAACCTGGGCTGTGCTTGTCCAGCACAGGCTGCTGCTCTCTGCAAATTGGGAAATGTTGTTAGTGGCTGGCTGGCTGGCTGGTGGAGAAAGTGTGTCCAGCTTGCATGGGTGAATAAGCATGTTAGTAAATGAATTATTGTGGAATAAGTCTCCTTTTAACTGCAAGAACCATTCCTGCCTGGAAGCTGCTGCCACACCAAAGAAGGGCAAAGCTGCCTTAGGGGGAGGGCAGCACTGGGGGAAAAGTTCCTTTATAAGGCACCCAAGCATGTGCCAGCACTATTGTAAATGACTGGAGTAATTCCAGCCCTAGAATGGCTTTCCACGTATCAAGCTTTTTGGCTTTAGGTCAAAACCAAGTCTCTTTCTCCCTGTATCTTTCTCCTTCCCAAAGCAGAGGTTGAACCTTAGCTAGCAGAGACTTTCCTTTGCAGCTGCTCTGGGGCAGTTCAAAGTTAGCTAGGTGGAACCTCGGCAAACCTGAGTGAGTTCCCAAAATCACACCAGGAAAAAATGGTGTGATGTGTGATGTTGCAACTGGGCATGGGGAGGTGGTGTGCTTGTGAGAGGGGAAGCTCATCCCAGTGAATGCCAGCATGGCAGTATTCCAAATTGTTGAGTTGTTTTCAGGACCTGGCTATCGGGAGAGACTAAAAAGATGTATAAATGAGCACATAAATAACTTTTTATATGTAGAGCTGGGAGTCAGCAAGAGTGAATTTTTAAGCCTGAGGAGAACGTGCAGAAGGGAGGAGCCACAGGACAATTGCATACTGCCTGCCTTGTTTTGGTCAAGCCCTTAGACCAGCATTTGAAGAATATTTTTAGTTTTTGTTGGATGATGGGTTTTCCATGCAATGTTGAGACTTAAAACAATCTCTCATGCAACCCCAGTAAAATATCACAGTGGTCTAATTGGGTCTGTATTGTTATAAATGTGATTTTCTAGGGCCACATGCATTTGTGTGCATGCAATGCCAATGTTTGTGTTGAAATCTCCTGAGCAATGAATGGAGGAGCAGGACCTTGGAACTGAAATCAGACCTGCTTTTGCTATGGAATGAGAGGTTTTCAGCTGCCCCTGCCCCAGGTGTGAGCAAGACAAGGCTGGTTCCCCTGCCATGAACCCCAAAATGTAGAACTGGAATACCTGTTAGGCTGCCAGGAGTTGAGGATTTTGACCTAAGGTACTTAACAGGTAGTGCTGCAATTACCTCATGGTCTTTCAATTCAGTCCTCAGGGAAATACTACAGTGATATATTTTTCAGTGGTCCATCAAACATCTTCCCAAACATTATCCCTGCCTCCAGAAGAGAGGTGGATGTTTATCTCTGGGGGTACAAGCAGCTGATACAACCCCTGGCACACTTGCTTGCAGTTCTGTTGTGTTGCACACTTGGTTTGCAGATTGGTGCTGCCTCCTGTTTTTGCTGCAGAGGGAGATCTTGTTCAATCCAGGGAGCTGCTTCTGGCTTTGTGATAGGAAAACAAATCAAATGCCTTTGGCTTTTCCTGGTGACAAGCAAAACCTGCCACCAAATGTGGGCTGTCCTGGCAGCTGCAGTGCTCAGGGACAACAGCTCTGGATGGCCTGGGGGGTGTTTCAACACAGAGAAAGCTGCTGCTCACCAGTCCTGCAATGCCTTCTCTGCTTTGCTCCGTGGTCACCAGCCCTCCTGTGTGGGACACGCTGCCACAACCTCGCTTGGCTACAGGCCTTGTGCTGAGCCTGGATGTTTCCTCTCTTGGACCTGGTGCAAGCCAGCCAATAAGAAAAACACAAAACTGGCTTGATGGATTGTGGCTCGCAGCTTTCAGTAAGAATGAAATATAAGCACAAGGTTATATTTAGCCATCCATAAACAGGAATAAAACAGAGCAGAGGCTCATTATCAGCACTGCTCTGTCAGATCCCTGCTGGTGTATTTTGAGGGGTAGAAAGCTGCTTTGGTCGCAGGGAGGCTGGGATGGCTGCCCCAGCAGGAGGCAGGGTCTGTGCCATGGGGCTGGGGCAGGAGCCCTCAGCTGCCCACCACTGTCCTCTCCCAGCAGGATCAAGCCCAGTTCCATGGGAACCCTCGCCCCCCTGCTTGTCCCTTCCTGAGACTGCTCTTCCCGTGCAGAGCTGAGGCTGCTCCTCTGGGATGTGTCCCGAGCACTGTGCTCCAGTTCACTGTCCCCCCGGGATGCCACATCATTCCTTGTCTTCCCTCAGGCCCTGGATACCGCATGTCCCAGAAACAACACACATTCCCCACTTTGCTAAAAATGGCCCAAACTGTTGATGCTGTCTGGCAGGCAGCCTGGCAGGCTGCTCCCTGCTATTTTGGTGCTGTCTGCAGAGACCATGGCCTCTATGCCAGGGTCCACAGTCTCCATGCCAAGGGCGCTGCTGGCTCTGGCCCAGGACACCGCAGGCAGCTCGGACCAAGTCAGCTCCAGCCAAGTCCACTCCTGTGGCCAGCCAGACCCTGTGCCCTTCCTGCCACTCCTCATGGCCACCTGCATTGGCTGCACCACAGCAGCGAGTGCTGAAGAGGCAGCTCTGAAGAAAAAGCAGTCAAATGGCCTGTGCTGCCATCTCCCCAGACTGCAATTCCCCGTGATCCTGGTGTGCCCAAACCCTTCCCTGCACAGCCTTGTACTTCCCTCTAGTGGCTAATTATTAATGAGAGCTCTCCCTGTGCCAGGCTGGAGAGTGTCAGCCTGGTCCTGCGTGTCCTCAGGGCCTGCTCAGCCCCTTCCCCATGGACCTGGCTCCTGGTGGGTGGACCATGTGCCATTCGTTTCCCCAGCAGTGCCAGCAGGGAGGCACAAGGGCCGTCAGCATGACATGTGGCACAGCCTTTCCATTCCTGTTACAAACTCCTGGGTTTGTTCCCATGAATTACAAACTCATGGGCCCGGATGTTCCTCCTGGTTTTCCCTCCATGAGCGTGGGTGGTGGCACAGGTCCAGGGACAGGCAGGTCTGGCAGCAGTGCCCAAGGCCACTGCTTGTGTGTGCAGCGTGGGCCAGTGGCATTCTGTGGCCATGGGAAAGCCCAGCTGGGCTGTGCAGGGTGGCTGCTCGCCCAGGGCCATGGCAGTGTGCTGAGGGCTGGGGAAGCCTCTGGCACACACCATTGCGGGGATTCTGAGCCACCACTTGGGTCCGGGGGGAAGGGAACACGCCCCACTTGGTGGGCTGGGGGCACCCTGGCTGCAAGACATGGGACCCACTGCCACCCTCTGCCTTTGCTCCATCCAGCCTCCTGCTCAGCGCCGGGGTTCCCGATTTCTCAGCCCATTTCACACGGACAAACGGGCTCTTTTCTTCCCTGTGACGGGCGGATTGGACACAACAGCTCCTTGCCTGGCTTGAGCAACAGCGTGTTTCTCTTCTTGGTGATTGCAAATAAACTTCCCTGGCCTCGGGGGATCCCTGCTTGGCTCCTAAGGAGGCGAGGGATCTTGGCACAGCAGGATTTCTCATGCGGAAAGGGACATTGAGACACATTTGTCCAGGAACCAGAGCCCTGTAAATACTGCTCAGAGCTCCTTTATTAATGTCCCAGCCGTTCCCAGGGTGCTCCTTTCTGCACTGTGAGTTCAGGGTGCTGCTTTGGCCTCCCAGGCTGGCCAGGGGAAGGAGGGGGTTCTGCATGACAGCATCCATCTCCCCTCTGCTCCCAGGCCAGCCGAGCCAGGTACTGGCTGCTCTCAGCACACCCCGGTCTCCTTTGGGGGCTCCCTCTGGGCTGGCAAGAAGCTGGGCAGGGACCAGAATAACTCAGTGGCGTGCGGGTCACCGCCCTATCGGTGACATCCCCTGCCCGAACAGCCTCCCCGGCTTTCACTCCCTGCAGGGATTGCAGGGAGGCACCTGAGAGCGCGCCTCTGTCTGCCTGAGCTGTTAATGAGCTACTTAATGAGATTGCCACTGGCCCGCGGGGATGGAGAGGCGCTCACAGCGCAGCCCCCCGTGCGTTCAGCGGCACGGCAGCTTTACAGCGGACAGGAATGATTTATTGGGAGAGCGTTTCTGAGTCATCCAGGCAAGGAAAAGCGCATTTCCTTCGCGCAGAGGATTATCCCAGCTCCGCCGCTTGGACAATAGATGGAGCTCACCGCTCACCGCCCGGCTCCGCACGCCTGGCAGAGCTGCGGGACCGGGGACACCCCCAAAGAGCCCCCGAGCTCGGGGACAGCCCCAGCACCCTCCGGGGACAGCCAGCCCCTTCTCTCTGCCGGTGGGTGGGCAGTAGGGGGTGAGGGAGACGTGACCCCAGCCAGCTGGAAACAAAATGGAAGGGGAAAATTGGGGTTTGACTGGGAATTTGTAACATTTGTGCGATGTGGTGGAGGTAATGCCTGCACCAATTCCATGGTCTTCCCAGTCTACATCACACTTCTGTCGTCTTTAAAGAGGTGTCTGCCCCCAGTCCCCTATTTTTCTTCGGTTGCTGAGGGACAGAAATGGCATCATGTCTCCTTGTCACCAGTTCCCATCACTGGACATGTCTGTTATTTCAGACTCCATACCTGCTGTCGCGATTTGGGGTAACGGTGTTGCTGGGGTGTCCGGCAGAACTGCACAAACCACAAGAGTGCACTTGCTCTGGGTCTGATGGCACAGGGAGCAGCATATGGATCCCCAAAACCCCAAGTGTTTTGGCAGAACCTGAGGAGGGGTTGGTGGTTCCATGCTGGGGCCCAGTGCAGGCAGCAAGGAGCCATGGCATGCTGGAGCTCATGTTACTGGGGTTTCAGGGTACCCCCAGCCCTTCACACAGCAGCCAGTTGGGATTTAGGACTCCTCACAAGGGGATTTTCCTTCCCCCTCTCTGTTCCTTTCCCCCATACGTGGCACAGGGAGGGCACAGGGGGCAGACAGGGGACAGGGCACAGGCAGGGAGCAGGCAGGGATGGGGAGCAGGCAGGGCACAAGGCACAGACAGGGCACAGGGAGCAGGCAGGGACAGACAGGGCACAGGGAGCAGGCAGGGCACAAGGCACAGACAGGGAGTAGACAAGGACAGGCAGGGGACGGGGAGCAGGCAGGGCACAGGGCACAGACGGGGGACAAGGAGCAGGCAGGGGACAAGGAGCAGGCGGGGGACAGGGAGCAGGCAGGGGATAGGGAGCACGCAGGGCTCCTCATGGCTCCACAAACCACAGCCCTCTGTGTCTGCTGTGTTTGGAAGCCCTGCCTGGTGTCAGCCCTGTGCCATCCATGTCTGTGGTCACCCCAGAACCGGGGTGAAAGTCAGGAGCCCGTGGGGAGATGACTCCTTCCCATCACACTTTGCTCTGCATTATGCAAGTTCAGCAGGACAGTTTTTGGCCATAATGGTTTTTCCATTCACTGAGGTATTGATCCGGAGCCACCAGCCCAGTAACCTCTGCTGTGCATTAGCTGCCTCCCTGCCTTTTGCAGATGATGGATGTGGGATGTGGCATAGGGTGGCTTTGGCCTCTGGAGGCTGGGGCTCTTCTCCCACTGCTGGGCTCTCCTGGACTGTCATCCAGCTGCCAATGAGACTGAGTCTCTGTGTTCTCAGATCAGTCCCTGCCTGCCTTCCAAAGGGTCTGTGCTCAAATTCAGCGATCTTTGAAAACACCAGTGAGGTGCTAAGGGATAACAGTTTGCTTGTTTCTTTCATCTACACGATCTATTCACTTAGAAATGAGGATGTGATTAATTGAAGGCATTAGGAATCTTACATTGAATATCATTGCTTAATCTGAGTGATGCATGTTTCACAAAAATACTATAAATCTATTTAAAAATTATTACCCTGTGTTTTTTACTTTGGGCATAAATCATCCCAAAGTAAAGTGCTTTTTGGGAAGTCACAGAGAACAACACATCTATGACACTATTGATAGGGCATTTCTTTGTGCTTTGCAGGAGGTGTTTGTGTTTACTGTAGGACTAATAATGGTTTATAGTATCTTCAATTATTCATTTTTATAAGCGCTTGTTCTCCTGACTTGAGCAATCAAAACCACACTGTCACTGGTTTTAGCAGTAAATTGTGGGGATTTTTCTGCAATCAAAAGACTTTGCTTCCACTTTGCCTCTCTTCCACATGAAAAGCAATGGTGGTTCACTCAGCCATCCCATTTTTTATGTTTCTGGCTTTGGAAGACACCTTTCTTTGGAAAGACAGTCTGGCAGCTCGGGTGGCAGCCAGCTGACCCAGCAGCCCTTGTGGCTGCAGCACCTCACCTTGTGGCTGTCAGGAGTGTATGTTCGAGCTGGACAAGCAGATGTGGCAGCTGGGAGCAGACTGGGGGCCTCAACACCCTGTCCCAGCAGATGTGGGGAACTGAAGGCACTCTGGAGGACTGATAGGACATATTCAGGCTGTGGTCAGCAGCTAGTGAGAGCTTGTTCCTTCATGCTTGCTGCCTGGCCTGGGCAGAGCTATGACCTGATGTTTTAAAAATCCTTTACAAAAGCACACACAGAACTTGTGCTGGTCTGTGCCAGTACCCCTGAGCTGGAGCTGACATGGCTGGATGCCAGGGACCCTTTGCTCAGGGCACATGGCAGCTCTGAGACCCTTTTGCTGCCCACCTGGGCTGGAGACAGCTTCCATGCTCACATGGCAGTCCTGGGGGACCTGGACACTGAACCCACAGGCAAACCAGATGTCCTGAGCTCTCCTGCCATTGCACCCAGCCTCCTGCTCCTGCCATGCCCTAGCTGTCCCTCCTGGCAGGATGGGTGCCCTGACTGTGAGCCTCGGGCTGCCCTGGTGTGCTGGGCTCAGATCCTGCCACCTTGGCATCACTGGAGTCTCTTCCTGCAAAAGCTGTAGAGCTAGACAGGCAGGTGGGAGTGAAAGTACTCCTATATAAAACACATTTTCTGGTGCTCCTTTATAGGTTTTTAATGTGATTCGTATGTCCCTGCCTGGCCCATCGCCCACAGCCAGGCACTCCCCTTCCTCCAGCTCCTCAGTGCAGTGTTTTCTGTGGATTGGGTTCAACTGGATAATTTCATCTCCTTTGTATTTGTAATCCCTAGGAGGGTGGTGTCTTTAACAAAGACTATTCCTTCTCATTGCTTTGGCAAAGCAAGCAGCAGCTCCCTGCTGTGTCTCTGCTCAGATGACACAGAGGTTCTCTGAATAGCAAAGAAAGAAAACAAAAAGAAACAGCTTAGATGCTTTCTTTTTCCGGGCAGCCACACATATCCACCTCATGATCCACGTATCCACCTCATGGAAAATTCCCCCCAGTACTTGAGGTTTTTTCCTTTTCATGTGCCTGCATCCACAAGGCTCTGCCTGTGAAGCACACTGCTGGCTCATAGATGGAGATGAAGACATCAGAGAGAGAGTCTGACAGGAGGAGAGAAGCAAGAGAGGGCCTTTTCCCCCCACAGCCAAAGAGGAAAGAGTAAGGAAATTCAGAGAATCCAAATGAGATATGATATAGGTATTCTTCATGAGAAACACCCCAGGGCCTGCAGTCTGGGACTGCAGTGGGTAAGTGGTTCAGCTAAAAAGTAATTTAATTCCTATAATGGCACAAGCCATTCCTGTGCTTGATCGAGGCTGCAGACTGGAGGCAGAAATGGCAATGCCTCATTTTCCCCCAGCAGGGCAGGGCAGGGCATGGGTGCCCACTGACCCCAGGCCCTTTTCATCACACTGGCTCTCCCGGCAGGGAAACCCTCGGGCAAACTTCCCACCAGTGCCTTTGGAGGGGACTGCTGGTGGCATGTGGGCACAGAGAGCTCACCTGTCCCGTGTGGCTGTGCAGCTCTGATGTGCCTCCCCAAAATGCAGGTGTCCCTGTGCCAGTGCCATCGCTGTCCCTGCTGCGTTTCTGGGCGCATGTGCAGCTGCACGGGGCAAAATCCAGCCCCTGAACCACACTGCTTGTTTGTTTGTTGTCTCTTGGCTTGCTCTCTGCAAATATTTGTATGCAGCTGAACCAGAAGTAATTGCTCACAGCTCTGCCATGGGGGTTTGTGATGAGC